GAAGGAAGGAGGGAATACAGTAGGTTGGAAATGGAAGTAAAGAAATAGGAAGGAGCGAAGAGAAAAGAGAACAAAAGGATGAATATTGAGAAATAAATAAGCAAAAGAAGGAAGGAAAGAAGCCTTGCTCAAATGCATCCAATGTTTAAACACACAATTTTCAGTTTTTTGCATAACACTTACAAATGATTCCAATTCTCTGCGTAAAGATGCGTTCTCTGTTCTCAAACTGTTTATTTCTTGTTCTAATGAGCTCACAGTTCGTCTCAATCCGGCCAAATCTTCCAACTGATTTCTCGTCAATCCAGCTGCGACTTCAGTAGAATCACACGAGTCTGCCAGCTCTGCTGTAGCTGTTGCTACGGCGTATTGAGCTTGAGAAACCTCCAAATCTTTTTCCTAGAAAAGCCAGTTATCAGTGTATAATTCAATATGGAAATTAATGGCAAGAGAATTTGAACTAAGAGAAGGAATCCCTAGGAGTCCCTAATGCTATCCTTAGAATCTTTGATGCTATTTTTAGAATCATTTAAGCCTGGTTTTCACTAGCGACGGAAGTAGAAGCGTAAGACGTCTTATGTTCCTGTGAAAATCAAACAACGGAGACGAACATCGACGGAAGCATAAGCAGAAGGAACGGAAGGTTTCCTTTTTCTTATGCTTCTGCTTCTACTTCGGTCCTTACATCGCTAGTGAAAACCAGATTTTTATGCTTCTTTGTATCTCGCAGACACAGAGTTCGCATGTTTATGATAATCGCAGTAACACTCATTTGCGAAGGTCGCAGCACTAAGACAGAAAATGTTTACTTCGAAGATTAAAATCATTAACGACCCTTCATTTTCAGTTACAATTAGATCATCAAATAGTCGATAAATAATTTACTTACTAATCTTTGTAGTTTTTCTTCTTTTTCTTTCAACTTGGTTTCTAATTCCTGCTTATTTAGTTGCAATTCACTCATTTGAATTCGCAGGTTTAATAAATCGGGACTTTCTGCAGGTACAAAGCTGCCATTTAATTCAGCTTGTTCTTGTTGGTGTTGATGGTAAGCTGTGAAGGAAAACATTCAAATAAGCCAATAACAGAAGAGTTTCTTTACAGCTTTGATATCTTTAAGCCAATCAGAAAAGTATCCAAGGTATATCACAGCAAAAATTTGAAATTCATATTCCCAGCCCAAAAAAATCTAGACCAGCATGTTTTACCTATTGTGGCCAATACATCTCTATTCGTAGAAATACAGAATACTTTTCTTCACTTTGTATAGTAATTTGCAGCTCGAGTCGTAGCGGTAAGTGACGATGAGATCTTTTGCCCATGAACGTCCTTAAATAGGTGTATTGACGACTCTTAAAACTTCATGTGTGCTTTTGTTTTCCGATATCAGAAGTGAGGAGTCTTAAGAGACGTCAATATAAAAAGAGGATCTACTTACATTGCATAAGAGATAATTGACTACGAAGTTGTACAATTTCCTGTGCTTGGATTTGAAGTTGGGTATTAGCCTGAAAAACATACAGGAAAAAATCATTGCAACCATCTGCCGAGCTTGACAAAGCAGTCTTCAAAGGTGAAACACAGTAAGCATTTTTGGAAAGTCTCATTACAGTAATAAATAGAATTACAAACTTTATTTGTACCCTTTATTACATTATTTTCTAATTTGATACATTCTTTTATGTTAGACAGATTGAGGGGTACCAACTTCCAAAAATAACTAGAAAGCTAAAAATGCTTGGAAGTTGGTTTACATATTCTTAAAGGCCGGTTTAGACGGTACGATTTTCGCCTACAACTATCGTATACAACACGCTCGCGCCATCCTACAACTCGAGTCGTAGCGTGTAAATCAAGCCTACAACTCGCCTACGACAGACGCGAGCGTGTTGTATACGATAGTTGTAGGCGAAAATCGTACCGTCTAAACCGGCCTTAATTAAAAGTCACTACAGTTAAGTCATTACAGAGAATTGTATAATGTTTTCAGTCAACAGGACTCTTGGTTTATGGCGTGATTTGCCACTATCACTACCAGACTCCCTCGCGCACTTTCTCTTGTTCAGTTAATTAGCACCAATTGTCTTACTGCTTCATTAGGGAATACACATTTGAATATGAAGAAAATTCGCAAAGCATTTTGCTAGAAGTAGTAAAATAACGCCATCATGCAAACGGCCTCTTGGTCTGCTTAACCAATTGACATCAGATTTTTGTGTCTGCCCTCTTATTGACAATAAATTGCGTCATCACATTGTCAAAGTAGTGTGGATCCACGAGGCGTAGCCGAGTGGATCCGCATACTACTTTGACAATGTGATGGCGAAATTTATTGTCAATAAGAGGACAGACTCATAAAAATCTGATGTCAATTGGTTTTTTACAATAACAAAAACGATAAAAACTTCTCATTTTTAGCGATCAAAACAACTGACAGAAAGAGCGTGCGCTCGTTGACGTCAGCTTTATCTGTCTGTCCTCTTATTGATGATAAAAATTAACCAATCAGCGCGCGAGAAATTTGTAAGTTATTGTAAAATTAATAATATAATTTAATAATCTAATAACAGATTTGGAATCGGCATTAAATTTCAATTCGGAAGATCGAAATTTAAAAAAAAGTTTAAATCATTTCCAAAAAGTAGGCAGTCACCTTAAGAAGTGAAAATTAATTCTAATGGTGACTAATGAAAGAAAGCCCTAGTAAATAAATGTGTCTTAAGTTTCATCTTAAATGAAGCAATAGAAAGGTCAGTATTCCTGAGGTCTAAAGGAAATGCATTCGTACCTGGTTGTATGTYGATTCCAAGTCTGCATATCTTGATTTCATTTTACCAAGTTCTTCATCCTTTTTATCAAAAAAAACATTGATTCATATCATCAGTTTTCAATCATTAAAACCACTACCCCTCCCCTGTTACAATCCCTACTGTCCCACCCCACCACAGTAAGATGTGTCACACCCTCGCCTTTTCCAATCCTACTGTCCTACCCCTTCACAGTAAGATGTGTCACACTCTCACCTTTTCCAATCCCTACTGTCCTACCCCTCCACAGTATGATGTGTCACACTCCCACCTTTTCAAATCCCTACTGTCCTACCCCTCCACAGCAAAGATGTGTCACACCCCCCACCTTTTCCAATCCCTACTGTCCTACCCCACCACAGTAAGATGTGTCGCACCCTCACCTTTTCGAATCCCTACTTTCCTACCCCTCCACAGTATGATGTGTCACACTCCCACCTTTTCAAATCCCTACTGTCCTACCCCTCCACAGCAAGATGTGTCACACCCCCCCCTTTTCCAATCCCTACTGTCCTACCCCACCACAGTAAGATGTGTCGCACCCTCGCCTTTTCGAATCCCTACTTTCCTACCCTTCCACAGCAAGATGGTCACACCCCCCACCTTTTCCAATCCCTACTGTCCTACCCCMCCMCMGCAAGATGTGTCACRCCCCCCACCTTTTCGAATCCCTACTTTCCTACCCCACCACAGCAAGATGTGTCACACCCCCCACCTTTTCCAATCCCTACTGTCCTACCCCACCACAGCAAGATGTGTCACACCCCCCACCTTTTCCAATCCCTACTGTCCTACCCCTCCACAGTACGATGTGTCGCACCCTCACCTTTTCGAATCCCTACTGTCCTACCCCTCCACAGTAAGATGTGTCGCACCCTCACCTTTTCCAATCCCTACTGTCCTACCCCTCCACAGCAAGATGCGTCACACACTCACCTTTTCCAATCCCTCCTGTCCTACCCCTCCACAGTAAGATGTGTCACACCCCTCACCTGTTCTCTGATCAACTCTTTGTAGGACTGTACTATGGAATCATGGTTTTCTATACTGTCGTTCTTCTGGTTTGTCGTCTGTTGAGCTTCTGTTGTCTCCTCAACAGCTTTAGTGACAGCAGCTGTTGAAAGTGATTCATTGATTAATAAATTAACATTTATTACTTAACATCAGTAGCAACAATAACAACAGCAGCAACAGCAACAACAGCAACAACA